TCCAGTGCTCCATCACAAATACTGCATTGTTTACCCTGTGTTTCTTTCTGGAAGATTGTTATGAAGTAGGACTTGGAAATCAGCTCTTTGAAAAGTGCATGTTTGGTACTGGGGCAGAAAACTGCAGCGAGGTTTGAATTCCACAACAGATGCTGGTACCACTGGTATCATAAAATAAGCGGGATCTGGAGTGAAAAGATGAGAGAGGGCAGTTGCTTCCCAAGAATGTCTATTTTTCGTTCTTTGGCTGTCATTCATTACAATGATTTTCTGAAATCCTAGTTTTTGTAATGGCTTTATCAAAATTCCTACAAAGTCCCAGTACAGAGCACCTTTCCTTATGAATTTAACCTCTTGTCTTTTCTCTGTATGTTCCATGTGAGTGGGAAGCGCTGATGCTTGCCAGTCCTCATCCCTCTAGTGATTTTGCAAAGTGTAATCATTGTAAAGTGCAATTGCTTAATATGTAGCTCATTCACTAAAACCCCAAGGATGAAGGCAGTGAGTAATGTGAGTCATTACCAGAGCAATGGTATCTAAAAAGATGAAGAGTCATGCATCAAGTACCAATCCATTTAGTCTGGAATTAAGAATTTAAAGAAATCACTAGTCAGATGCAATTGGTATTATCTCCAGGCAAATTAAAGTAGTTCCCCTGGAATGCTGTGCTGCTGCTAATGTTTTTTGGTATGAGAAGTGCTGATTGATTACGTGTCCCTCCTGCTCTGTTTGTCTTGACATTTGTGGACCTGCAGCTTTCCCAGATGCCATCTGCGTCTCTCCTTCCTTTCCAGGCTCTCCGTACCTTCATGCCTGAAATACGGAATCTTTGCCCAGAAAACGTGAAGAACTGTTTTGGCTTGATCAGCAACGTTAGGGTTCAAACTCCTGTTTTTCAGTCATGCTTATTTTTGTTCAGCCATCCAAGTTTCAACCACTTGTTTTTTTTTTGTGCTAAATCGTATGAGTTGGAGTGGATTTCCTCTCCATCTCATTCCAGCAAGGACTTTGTAGTCCAAGGACATAGAGTTTGACTGCACAATGTACTATAAATGACTGGAGCATTAACATTTCCATCATCGTTCTGAGAGGGTAGTTTGCAGCTTAATATGTGATATCAGCTATCAATTTGTTTTTTGCCTGCTTTGAGGTGTAAGAGAGCCTCAACCAGCTCAGGGCTACAGAATGGCATTGTATGCAACAGTCTGAAGGGGCCCCAAGGTTTAACACGGGCGAAGCGATGTACACACGCTGATAAATTGGGAGTTGTGTTTTGCTTCCAAGGTTTCCTGTGTGAACAAAAATGGGAGGCTTCCGGAATTACCATGGAAAAAACCCAGACAGCAAAACAAGGCGTGTGCTGGATCTGTTGTAGCTGCCTTGATGTCAACAGGGCTTGGGCAGCGTTGCACTCACTGGGGATCTGCTATTAGAGGTATTACAATGTCAGTGATATTATTAGGAGCATGAGATAATACAAAACAAATGAGTACACCAGTCTGCGACATTGCTCATGGACCACATTTGTAAGACATTGTACTATAAAGTCGCCTTTAATTTGTGCACCAAAACCAGACTGCAGACGACTTCTGTGACTTGGTTGGTCTTAAAATAGGGTTATCGCCCACATGCTGGGCTACTGCGTGTTCCCTAGCTAAAAATATTCCAGGAAATGTAGCAGCAGACCACAGATAATCTTTAGATTATATTTACTGTGAATTAAGTCTGTATAATCCATTTCTGCATACTAATTTTTGTCTTTAGATCAATTTCTCAAGTCTTTTGGATTCAGCATTTTTATTCTGGACTTGTGACTATTGACAAGCCCCTGAGACGCTGACAGTGCTGTTAGGGCTTTTCTCCTCTGTTTGTATGGTGCGTTGCTTTGCATTGTACTTCTGATTGCTCACCACGCCTAGGATCAGTACAACACATAGCGTGTACCTCAGAGAGTCTCTTTAAAATAAGATTTTATTGTTTTGTGCCATATTGCGTAGGGACAGATAAGATGTGTAAGTTAGTAGCGTTTGAGCTTTCGGGATACTGCCACTTTGTTTAGGGATCCCAGAACGTGCTGGGAGTAGCAGTGTGTTCATGGAATTCATTATAGGACTACATTTTTCTGAGTGACCCAATCCACTTCATAGGAAGTCAGATGGCTTGAAAAGAAGAGGCTATAGATCAAACCTGGCAATGTCAGATGTCAAAGCAGGTGATGCAGTAAGGAAACAAAACTCTTATATTGGGTCAGAGGTTTATGGGTCACCGATCTGGAAAAAGTATACATTTCACAGCGGAAATGATCTGTAAGATATTCCATTTGCATACATTATTTTGTTGAGATTTGGGTGTCACCCTGGAACACAGGTATGCAAAATCCTGGGGGCATTATATTATAAGAAAAACTATGGGTTTTCTTCCTGTTTTTCCCAGTTTGGTTGAGTTGGAAATCCTCAACAGAAGCTGCAAGAAGCAAAACTTGCAGTTTAAGTCTACTACGTTCTTTGAAGGTAGCTGCACACAAGCAAACTATTTTGGAGGGTGTGAGAAACAAACCAGCTGTGCTTTTAAAGGCAGGCTTTAGGAAGCCCCCCCAGAATTGCCCAGTTGTTCCAAAGTTAGTTTGCAGGTGTAGTGCTGGGCTATAGGACATCTAGAGCTTGCATCACATGCTTGCAACTCTTCAGTCTGGAATAGATTTACTTCTGTGACTGGCTGCATCCATGCGCTCATAGCCTTAGCCAAGGAAATGCACAAAACATGTCCCCTCACAGATGAAAACCAGTGCCAAATCCAGCAGGCAATTCTGTGTTCCCCACCAGGAGAATGGTCTCCATAAGACTGGACAACTGTAGGAAGAGGTCTGCAGACACTAAGGCAATACGTCGAGATTTTTTTCACGCTATCCATTGCATTGCTTTCAGGCCAGTGCACATCTGCCGCTATTAAAACTAATAAATCAGGGAAAAAAAGATGTATGTAGCTGTAAGATCTGTTGTCCATCAGTGATTGCGGTGGTTATTAACTGTCAACTCACTGTTCTTGCAGTCAGCACCGACAATGAGATGTAGAGTCCTTTGTTTCTGTGAGTTTGTACATTCATGAGTTTTGTTGGTTTGTCCTGGGCTTTTTTTTTCTTGTGGGAAGTAGTAGTTTGCTGCTCCAACATGGAGATTTGTCTTGTGAAAGGACAAGGTGATAGGACAAGGGGGAATGGCTCTAAGCTAAAAGAGGGCAGATTTAAATTAGATATTAGGAAGAAATTCCTCACCACGAGGGTGGTGAAACACTGGCACAGGTTGCCCAGAGAAGCTGTGGCTGCCCCCTCCCTGGCAGTGTTCCAGGCCAGGGTGGATGGGGCTCTGAGCAACCTGGTCTGGTGGAAGATGTCCCTGCTCATGGCAGGGATCTTGAAGGTCCCTTCCAACCCTTACCATACTATGAAAATTACTTTTAATTGTTGTACGTTGAAATGTTGAGATTTTTTTCGTAAGTGAGCAATATTTTGTAATTGCTTACTACTGGTAGAATGGCTCATGTAAAAAGAAGAAAAACCCAAACAACCAAACAAAACACACGCAGTAAAAAAGCCACAAAAGAATTAAGCTCTTCCCTTTCAAAACTTTCTTTCCTGATGCTGGAATCTCTGCTCAGCCTTTCACTCCAGAAAATCTTTTGTGTGCAGTGATACTAGTGATGGGGAAGGATGTCTTTTCCTCATTGTCTAGCTTGCACCCATCCCCGTTGATGGTGAATAGCTGATAAGGGGCGACTGTCCATCGCTCTGAAATGGCACGTGTTGTTCTGATTGAAGTGCCTGGTTGTGCCAGAATCAATCTGAAGAGTCTTAAACTGATTTGTGTGCTTCCTAACTGGAAAAGTTGCGCATTGGTAAGCTGAAGGGAGACTTCAATGACATTTAATAGATACAAATCTCTGACAGAGTATTCTTTCGTTTAAGAGTAAATTTGGATGTTTGTTTCCATTGGTCTCTAGCAGGTTTGCTAATCCTGTGTATGTCTAGATGGGTGTAACACTGATTTATTGTTTTGTTAATGGATACAAGTCAACTGGTGCAATTGCCACAAACCAGACAGTTTGACTGCAGTGAGACAAACCCTCCTGCATGAATATTTCTTGTTAGAATCATCTTTCTAACAATTCAGGTTGGGTAATTCCTTGCCACTATAAGCTTTATGAATATAAAACAGCTGGTGAGACTCTTTCCATCAATAAAAGTGTTTATTATCATCTTGCAACTGTAGGAGCAGTTTTGTGCATGAGTTGGATATTCTGGTTTAAACCTGCTTGCCACAGTTTGGCATGGCTTAGTTACACAGACAGGTGCAAGCTGAATAAAAACAACCAGCGTTCAGTTCTTACAGAACATTTCACATATAAACTGCACTGGAAAAACTAGTTTTAATTTCAAACCAGCCCTAACAATCCTCAAGTTTCCATAACAGAGTTTCTACTGGTGTCAGTTAATAGACCTTAAAATACCGCAGGTTAACGAGTGAGGAGGGCACCATATAATCCATGAGTTACACCTGGTGTACTGCTGTAGCCCGGCCCATAGCTTAGTACTGGATCTGGTAACATCGGTCCTCCAGAAAATGGCTTTATTTGCCCACTCTCTGTTTCAAAGTCGAAGGTTATGTACTGGGTTGTCTTAGGGCAGTTTGCTGGTGACTGGTAACTGGTCCTTCAGCATCTCGGTGCTGCTGGCGCACTCACAGCAAGCAGGAAAGGGCTCGGGGAAAAGGATTTCTGTGCGCTGTGGGATGTGTGTGGTGGCTTGCAGGGACTTGCCTGCTCCACGCCTTGGCTGGCAGCTCCCTGCCAGGGAGGATGAAGCCCCGGCGAGTGCCCCACTTAGATCTGGCCTTTTTTGGCTGAAGGTACGTTCCCTTTTTTTGTTTCTTAGGAAGTGTTTGAAATGCTTTGTTGGTCTGCACCTCACTGCTCCTGGGTGCTCCTGCTTGCTGGCTTGCCCTGCTTCAGGCCACCAAATATTTGGGTTCATCAGGCCGGAGTTTCATCACCTTGTCCACGCAGAGCAGGATGAGTGTCAGAAACCAGAGGCTGCAGCCGACGGCTGCTGCAATCCATCCATAATCATCCATGCCCGTCGGGCAGCACATGGCCGCTTGCGAGCAGAAGTTTGCGTCTGGTGGCAAAGAAATGAAGTGAGCTGATGGGAGGCTGAGTGAGTAACAGGTTTCCTTTGCTAGAAGGCAGATGAGGCAGTGGCTTCACTGCCTGCCTTGCTGCCTGTCACTCTTTCTTGGCATCTTTCCACTGAGCCTGGCTCTTAACCTGAGGGGTGGCAATATTCAGTTTCATCTGTGTGTCTTCGAGACTCGGTCGTCCCTCTCTGGCCAAACACCTGAGCTGGTTCTCTTACCACTGGACCCAGCATTGCGGAAATACTTTAGAACACCTACTTCGCATCTCCTCAGTCAGTTTTTGGAATGGAGTATGACAGAAGTAGCTAGTAAAAATTAAAAATTAACCTGGGGTAGAGAAACATTCATGTGAGGGAGTAAGAGGGTCTCTAGCAGAGACACCTTCGGCAGGACCTCCAACGGTTTAGGTACCCAGTACCTCTGCAGGCAATGGAAGCAGCGGCTGCTCTCTGCTGGGCTGTCAGCTGTGACTTGCGTGTACCAACTGCAAAACACACCCCCACTGAGCAAAATATTTTTTAACGATTCCATATATTTTTTTCTTGCACCTTTTGCATATTTTTTTTATTTTAAAATCAATGCAGTTTCCTAAAGTCAGTTAAGGAATATGTCACTAGTTGTTTCGTTTATGCTGTTATTTGAAGGCATCTGCCCTACTTCTTCTAGTTCTTTTATCATGGTAGTAATGATTTATGAACACTTACTAAGACATGGTGCTTCGTCCTCGGTTGTGAGCATGGAGCTTGCTGAAGCATTGGAGACGCCTTCAGCTACTGCCAGATGGAAGCACAGAAGAAAAGGCAAGTTGGATTAGAAAAGCAATACTGGGCATCAGGCATGAACATCTGAAAGCCATCGGCCTTGCAGAGGCCCGTAGGATGGAAACAACTTGGAGAAAGTAAGTTCCTGCTCCTAAACATTGCTTCCTCACCCCACCACTGTCAACACAGGCTAGAGAGAGACCTGCTGTAGCACCAGCCGTAAGGAGTAGGGGGATTGCTGTGCCTCTGACCTGAGTGTGACCTTGGTGTGAGCCATTCACTCAGAGCTCAAATTAACCACTGTCCTTTCCCAAGCTACATGGGCAGAATGAGCAAGGACTGAAATGAGAGTAAGCGTTCAGTGGCATGGGGAGATCCATGGCCAGCAAGTTGTACATCTACTTCCTTTTGCCCTTAGAAAAATCCCGGTGGCTCTATGGGGTGCGGAGGAGTCTGGCTGAGCCGAGGGCTGAGCCCATCAGGTTGCTGCGGTCCCTGGGCAGAACACCAGCCTGTCCACTGCTGCTGCAGAAGGAAGGAAGGCAGGCAGAGAAGTATCTCCTCCTGTGCCACTATGAGCAGTGCAGGTCAAGTTCAGCCAGATGAAGCATCCTGTGCTGAAACGGTCCCCTGCAGAGATGCAGGAAGAACAGCCCGGCGAGGCTGCGGGAGCAAGGGCTCCTGATGTGTGCAGATGGAGGGGCCCCAATGTGCTGCTGGTCCACAGACCAGGCAGCGGCTGTGTGAGAACTGTTTCCAGTTAAACCATCACTCTGAGCTGATAGTTGGGAGCGTGACAGAGAAAATCAGTTCCAGCTTGATTTCACTGAACACTTCAGAATAATGGTTCAGGTTCAGTTTCAGCTCAGGAAAACAGAACAAGTCCTTTGACCAGTTCTTTGCTTTGAGTTTGGTATTTTCCAAGTAATAGCAAATAAACTGAGGTTGTCCTGCAGGAGATGTCCCCCTTGGGGTCACCTACTGCTGTCCAGCTTTGCATTTTGAGCTAACCGACCATCAGCAAGACCAGTGCTTTCCTTACGGCCGCTGCCATGCTGGGAGCAGGTCCCTGGGCAGCTTGCTCCAGGGAAGGGTCTGAGTACCATTGCTCTTTCTGGCTCTGCTAGGACATGCTGAATGACCTTGGCCAAGCCCATAATTTTTTTTTCTGGGTTAATAAGTACCTCATGGGAGAAATGGGAAGAATCATTAAAAACTGTATACGACCTGTGGAAGAAAGTGCTGCAGAATACAAAGTGTTCGTTCATGTTTATAGACTTTGCAGCCCAAAGGACAAGCTGTCAAAGCTAACCCATTTTTAAACATCTGGCAGGTCTCAACCGGTGCTGATACAGAAACACAGGCAGTAGCCTGATGCGAAAAGAGCAGCTCACAGGTCTCATTTACAATTTTGTTTTTAGGCAACTTCTCCAATTAAGGGGGCACCAAAGCCAGATTTCTTGCAAAAAGCACTGAATAAGAGCTAAACTGGACTACAGTGAGCCTCTTGGGTGGTTATTTCAAGTGGTCCCTTGCCTCAGCAAGCGCAGGAAGGACAAGTACCTGCGGTCCCTGATCTCCTTGCCATTCAGTGGAGCAGCCTGCAGCGCAGCCACATACATAGTGGATCTGTAAATAGCTGGCAAAAGCACATCTCAGAAAGATGCTGTGATCAATCGTGTCAAGCAATTCTCATTAGCATTAATCAATTCCAGCTCTTTACACTTTTTAGATGAGACAAGGGAGATCACCTTGTTTTTAAGGAACAAATTACTGTCAGTGGGCAATATATTTAGGTATTGAGAGGAATGGGGGGAAAAGGCAAGGTATGGAAAGTGGAGCATTAAGAGAAGAGAAATACCTGCTGAGCAGGAATACCAGAGCGTGGCGGCGAAGAAGAGCGCAGCGAAGGCTGCCCGGGGCTGGTGGGAGGAGTGCTTCATGCCGGGGGTCCAGCTCCCACCCGAGCAGCCGTGCAGATGAGTTCACCGGCAGCTCTGATGCAGCAGCTCCTTGGTAAGCTCCGAGAGCCGGCGTGCAGAGCGGAGGGTGGAGCAAAGGAGCTTCCTGCTGCCAGGACACCTTGAACTTTCCTGCCAGAGCAGGGTGAGGAAGGAGAAGGGCTCTGACCAGAACAGCTCCAGCAGGAGGTGGACACCAGCACCGAGGCAGGCGGAGGGCCCCTGAAGGTCAAGCCTGAAGGTTTCTCCCCAGGATCTGCTGCAGCCAGAGGAATGAAAGATCTCTGGAGCCAGCCCTTCCTGGCAGGGTTCCAGGCAGTTTCTGAGTCTCCTTTTGATCCTCCAAAGATGGTCTAACAGAGCTGGGAAGGAGCAGAGGATCAGGGTAGAGAGTTTGTCTCCCTGTTTGGCTTTGGTTTTGCATGTTTGCGGGCTCGACCTCCCCCAGAACTGCCCGGCAGTGATGCTTTTATGGAAGGGCTGTGTGGAAGCCTAAAAAAAAAAAAGCAGTATTTTGTCACACTGGTACAGCAGCTGCCCAGTTAACACAGGGTATGGGCACGTTTCCACCCAGAAATGGGATAAAACCACTTGCTTCGTGTAGGCTACATGCAGCTATTGCACGGTAACCACGGCCTTTCCTTAAGGGCCTGTCCTGGGTTATGGGCTGGGATCAGTTCAAGCCTCACTGCCTCCATCACCCATGTGCAATGTGATGATGCTGAAAGAGCTTTTTTTCCTTCTCTTGTAGTTAAGTCACCTCCTCTGTGACATGGGCAAAGCCGAGAGCTGCTCCTCACCAGCACAGCTTGATCTGCAGACCAGGAGAGGTGCTGGCAAAATGGTAACGGCCGGAAAGCAAGGTAACAAGCGGAGCGTGTTGCCGCCATTGCCCAGGCTGTTGGCTCTGCTTGCCGCTATCTTTGACCCACCACAATGTCCTTGTTAGAGAAAACTCCCGGCATTAAATAGGGCAGGAAGGCGGTGGGAGTGATGGGCTCAGCAGGGAGCAGGTTGCTGGTGCTCTTCGGTGGTGGTCACGCATGGCTTCGGGTGCTCCCTGGAGAACGAAGCTGTCGGGGGCCTGTTTGGAATGTGCAGCCGCCCCGTGGGAGGCGAGGGGGAAGGTGTCTGGGGCAGCAATCCTAATAAGATGGACAGTATCTAAAAATGTTTTTTTTTTCTTTTCCCCTCCACTCTGCTGAAATCCTCAGGGAGGGGCGTAACAGACTTCCCACGGGAGCTGCGGTGAGCTGCATGCGACGGGCTGCTGCTGCGCGGAACTCCGACCTTGGTTTGGTCTCCCCTTGTTTAAGAAAAAGCTTGAGAGTGAAACCCACGCAGGCTTAGCCCTGGCCAGCTCTTCTGTGGGGTGAACCCACCTGTCCTCCCTGCTGCCCACTCTCCACCACCAAAACCACCGCTTGCCTCCAGCCGCCAGTGTTTCCACCGTGCAGCAGGACGCAGGCAGCCAGAGGGTTGCCC